AGGCATCAGAAGGTTAGGGTTGGGGGTTAGGGTGTCAGGGTTAGTGGTCAAATGGTTAGAGTAGGGTTTAGCCAATGCCGATAAATGGACATCCAAACAAATCACCAGCCAATGCAACGTTCCAACGAACAGCATCCAACCTATTTGTTACTTCCCATTGTAAATATGTTGACAGTTTTCAGCAGATTTGCTTTAAAGGCTTAACATGTTTTTATTGTTCAAGTCCAAGCAAAAGTGACCTGCACTGAGTCCACAATGACGGTGGAGGTGGACAAGTCTTCCTTCTATGGACTCCAAGAAGATCATCTCCGGCTCAGTGACTCGAGCAACACGGTCTGTGACCTGGAGAGGTACTCCAACAGCACCCACATCGTCGGGGTCATCCCCCTGAATGCCTGCGGCACTCAGATCGAGGTAACCAGCTGGCTTTGGAGGCATCTCGCCCACATTTCTGTCCAGCAGTCAGCCTGAAACGTGATCGATCTCTCTGCAGGAGGACGACGACTACCTCTACTTCAAGAACGAGATCACCACGGTTGAGGACACCCACCCGTCGCTGATCACCAGGAAGCACCTGGTGGAGGCTCGGTTCTTCTGCCAGTACCCCAAGAAGGGGAATGTGACCCTGGGGTTCACAGCCCACAGGAAGAATGTCACCGTGTGGGAGAGGGGCTTCGGCACACTCACCTACCAGTTTGAGTTCTACCCTGATACCCAGTTCAGGTCCATGATCGACCCAAACTCCTACCCACTGGAGTATGACGTCGGGGAGAGGATCAACATGCAGATTGAAGCCTCCACGTCACTAAACAACACCGAAATGTTTGTGGAGTCCTGCAGAGCTGCGCCCTACGATAACCCCAACTACCACCCGACCTACTCCATCATTGAGAACGGGTAGGAGCATCATGCATTCAGGGTCTTTTTGCCAAGACTAGTATTTATTTTACTGTACCAAAACAGCATAATAATGTGTTCTTTAATTTAACCTAAACTGGTTTTTGGTGTCTTTCAGCTGTGCAGTGGACCCGACTGTTCAGATCTACTCACCCTCCCATGAAAAGCAGTTCCAGTTCAGCATGGAGGCCTTCAAGTTCATCGGCCTGCACGACCAGGTGAGGATTCTTTATCTTTCTTTTAAAGTGGTTTGATAAATTTGTGATTGAGTCATAGTTCAGCAAAAGGCACAAAACAGCCAATTAAAAGCAACATTAAGGCCGCAGCTATAGCCTAATGGCTACAGCGGGCGGACCATATGCAGAGCCTCTGCTCGCAAGCGTGTGGCCTGGGTTCGATTCCAGCCCATGGCCCTTTTCCCGCAGGACTCCCCCTTTCTATCTCTGCCCCCTTTCCTGTCAAGCTACTGTCATTAAAGGCCACTAGAGCCAACTAAATCTTAAAAAAAAAATAAAAAAGCAACATTAAATGTGCAGAAAATAAAAATAGTCGGTTTCTAGGTACTGGGAGGGGCCTGATGACCCAAGGCTCTGCCTCCTATTTGACTTTTACATACATGGAACCGTTTGTGTACTAGAGGGCGTGTCAGGTCAGCAGCTGGAATGAGGTGTTTCTTTCCTCAGGTGTACATCAGCTGCTCAGTCATGATGTGTGAAGCGGGGAACCCCAACACCAGGTGCGCACAGGGCTGCACGAACACCACCTGGTTCGGTGGTCACCACCATCACAAGAGGGAAGCTGTCATCCAGAGCGGCGCCCACCTGGTGTCCCAGGGTCCCTTGCGCCTCAGGAGGTCTGCGGACAGCATCTCAGGTATGGAGGCAGCGTGGGGCGTTTTTTGAGTCCCGCTCTGGTGCGGACGGCTCTAAATCTGGGCTGTGTGTGTCGTCTTCCAGCCGCCACCCTGAACATGAACCTGGTCTTCGTCGTGGGGTGCCTCCTGGCGGCCGTCGGGATGGTCTGCGGCGTGGTGGCGTACAGAACCAGGACGTCGAA